GAGTTGTTGGAGTTATTTGAAGACCGAGCGCGATGAAAGTCTCTATTCGCGTCGACGTTCAATTTCAACGTCGGAGATACGATGTTTATTGTAATGGATTGAAGATGATTGATGTTTCGTCGCTTCTTTCTTTAAATTATTTTTAAAATTTATTTATTTATTCCATTATCGTATTAGAATTTTCCATTTGTTAAGGCTAACTCCATTATTTTCATTCAGATTTTATAGTTCCTTGAATTATTACAGAAAGTTGCAAATAGTTCAACTAATATCTAACAATAGACCTTACCTTACACGTATAACTTGTATTTCTGCATACTATTCTGTAAAAGTTGTTTCCATATTTTAAGTTTCTGGAATGAAAATTTGTGAACTATATATAGTCATAGTTTATCCAACATCCAACATGAATCAAGATGCACCAGTAAATATAGAAGAATACAAAGTTTCTTGTGAAAAAAACATTTATACGTTAAATCTTATACATGCCTGTATTCACTCCTTTTTTTTCCATATCTTGATCAATAAACGTTATTCTTTTTTCACATCCATACTCAACGTTTTAAAAGTTCACGTGTGCCGGTTTAATACAATCAATTTGACGTAAAAACCGCGAGCTCGTTTCCGCGAGGATAGGAAGAGAACGATGTCTGATGGCTGTAAAGTTGGCCATTCCGATTCAAGAATGTTCCTCGTGGTTTCGTTTGAATATCGTACAGAGGTCTTAACTATTTTTCGAACGTTTCTTCTCGTGGCACTCGGCCCTGGCTTTCGTTCCGGATCAAATTCCTCGAACGATATTCCCTGGAAAACGGAGCGCAGAACAATCGGGGACGTTATCTCGCGGAAAATCTTGCCTCGTCGAAGTAGCACCAGATGAGAACGGTTGATTCGACCGGTAACCCTCCTCCTCGAAGAGACAGTTTCGAGAACAGCGAGTCGTCTGCAGCGAGTCCGATTCGTCTGCGAGGTCTGCAGTTCATTGCGGTGCATGAATAAAACCTCGCGAGAGGGGCTCTCTGCAATTTTGCAATAAAATTTTACAAGTTTCTCCAGAACTTTTTACGTAACGATCGATCGAAATTTCGTTATCCGCCTGGGCTTTCTTCCGTTGGGAAGGAACTTGGCATGGATTAAAATGTTTAATCGATGTTTTCTTTGTTGTATCTTGTATCCGAAATTTGTATAGCAGCTTTCTTTTGTGTTGAATGTAGATTAGGTTGGAACCTCTGTTGGAGTTAGGTTACGTCTTATCTGGCTACTAAACCGGGAAGGAATTGAGGTTATGTTGCTTCTGACGTTAACGCAACGCCATCTTGTTTAGTTATATAATTGCCATGAGTTGCAAATAGATGTAAATCAAAATGGAACAATGTTATCTCTGTTATTTTACGTTCTTGCTCTTTATCTATGTTTTATCGTGCATATATGCCAGATTTACGTAACCTAGTTCTCGAAGCTGACAATTATAGGTTACGTAATGCAAAATTATATAAAATTATCTGAATTTTGAATTGAATTCTGTGTGAAATGATCGATAATGAAATAGTAAAATATGAGATAAAGTAAGAAAGTTTTTAAATATTTTAGATACGGATAAATAAAATAAAGTAAATCTGTTTAACAAGCCAATAAAGTGCTTCAATCGCCTTAAAGCGATAATAAAATTTCAGCAAAGCGTTTCAGGAAAGAGGAAAGAAATTGGTAAGGAAGAAATTCTTGCACGCAAGCGTCGACGAAAAAGTGACGAAGGAAAGCTTTGCCAATTAGGGAACCTTGTTTTCTTTCCCTTTTTTTTCTCTTTCTCTCTCTCTCTTTCTCTCTCTCTCTATCCCACGAAATATTCTGACTAACGACCACAGTGTCTAATAGACATTGATGCTGACAAGAAAAATAGCAAGGAACACTCGAATCCATCGAGCATTGGATCACCTTTTAAGTAGGAGAGACTTTTTCGAAATACAGGTGTGGTTTTAAGAGATGGCCAGGATTGATGAGAAGAGTTGAGAAAACATTCTCAAGAGAATGGATAGTCTTAAGGCGTTGTAGTTTTCAGAGGATCTTTAATTTTCTTTAACGACAAAGCGAATGTTCAAAGTGTCTTTAAACCCTGTAAACAAAATTGAATTCAATATATATCTCGGATAAAATAAAAAAATATCTTTGAGACGCTACCAGTGTAATTGTATAAAGTGTAATAAGTATAAAGAAATGGTTGTAATTTTCTTTTATAATTCAAAGGAATACTTGGTTTCATAAAATGGCATTTAACAGCTTATCATTCTTGAATAATAAATCGTTGAATACTTATATATACTGAATATATTGAAATACTTTATCGATAGATCATGAAACATCCAATCCTTGAATATCGTATACGTCAAGAAAACGATATCACGAAAATAATATCGTTAATATTTTTATGTAAAAATTTATTTCTCTTCCCCTTTTTTTATTTATAATTTCATTCTACAGTTACACGTGTACGTGTTATTAATATACATTTTCTATCCAGAAAAATTTCCTTTGAAGAAGGGAGAAAAACGAATTTCACTGTAATCCGAAGATGAACTATTCGATTAACTGGAAATATTACTTGTGAGTTTTCAATATATACCATAATTTAATTGTCGGAATTGTCACGTTATTTATCTCTCAACAATATTGTTATACCTTGATTGGAAGAATCTGTAACACGAAATAATATTATGATTCGAATCTAAAGGAAAAAAAATAAATAAATAAGAAAAGAGATAAAAATTAAAGAACTGGGAAACGAGAGAATTGGGAAACTGGCAACCGTAGATAGAAAACTAGGAAGGAAATAGGAGTATTTGTTCTGAACCTTCAAGTACTCGAGATTCCAACCAGCGCAATCAGAGATCGTAACAATGACGTATTATGTCCCGCATTCCTCATTATTCTCTCTCGAAAACGAGAAAGGGAATCTCTTGTACCTTTTACGGTATCCAGAATCACGGAGCAAAAGCATATCGAGACGAATGCCGTGTATCCACGAATCGATACCATCCTCGTTGCCTCGTGTCTCGAAAATGAACAGTTTATATCTGCATACATACATGTAAAAATTATTCCAATTGAAATCGTTTATGAAATTCTGAAAATGATTGTAGCACTCGTTGTATAAATCTTGAACGAGTGTTATCGATATCATCAGGTATGATAAATATTCATGATTATGCAATTTACACTGCATTATTTCCGGGGGTGACAAATATGGGGGTGAGAAATATTCAGTTAAATAATTCATTTTTTCGCCACTTCTAAATGTTAAATTATCGTATTTGTAAATTTTTTCTACCTTCAAGATAATTTTTTTTTTGTTTAATAATATGAAATAAATGGAAGAATACGTCGTTCTTCCACGACGTTTAAAATATTTTAATATATTTGATATATGGACAGATGTATACGTAATAATCGTAGAGTTCCAATGATATTCAGTCATATCAAAATTTCGGAGTTCCATCATGAATTATGAATTTCGAGTGACTTGAATAACGTTCTTCTACCAGCATAGTAATATAGAAGTTGAAATATGCACGGTGCCTGAAACGAATTAATCATTATTTTAAAACATTAATCAATACTCTTTACACATTTATCTATCTCAAATATTTTAAACGAATATATATCCCCATTCGTATTTTTTTTAAAATACATAAACCAATTGTTTCTATAAACAATTAAGAAAGATAAATAAACTTTAAAATCTCCCCCTCCACTTTCTTTTTTTAATCTTCCATTTTTAACGAGAAAATCAAATTTCAATGAAAGCATAATTATCATCAATCGCATCGTTATATCGCAGCCATCGTCGAGCTATACCGTTTACTTTATTCCGCGACGCGACGCAACCCTCCCCCCATTCATCGAACGAGCATTGTCGCCGCGAAATATAACGTGTACACAGATTTACCTTAATCAAGGCCTGTTAATCAACTTGATAACAACTTCCAGGAAACGTGTTTACGAATTCTGGCCGCCACCGCAGCCAATCCCCGGGCGTACGATCATTACCGCATTGTGCGTCGATGAAAGATGCCGCTGCAGCCCCCGTTAATTACCCATCCTTTTTGGCACGTAACAGGGATAAAGGGGGATGTAAAAGTAAAGTCTTGATGGAATTTTCGTGGCAAAAATATCCCGATTCATAAGTTGTTTAATCAATCCATTCGAATGTATTCATCCAGGAATATATCATCCACGTGGATGCACGTTTGTCGCAAATTTTCATCCACTTCTCTCTCTCTTCCTTTCAATATAATAATGTAATTCCTTTCACGTCACAGTCTCCTCCTCCTTGACGAAGTTTCAGCGTGAAATCGACTTCATCCGAGATATTATTAAAAACGATGTTCATTCGAGATTTTCATTACGATATCGTTAACAAATAGAAACGATCGAGCGAGCCATTCACTCATATTTTGCTTATTCGCTTCGTTTCGCTGTTACATTGAATTCTGCGTGACGGTTCAAAGGGGAGGGAAATGAAAGGATTGTTGTGAACGTGAAATGGACGCGTGGATCTTTATTATCGCATTGATTATTTAAATTCGAGCAATGGATCGGAAAAGTGGCTGCTATTAGTGCTGGCGCACAGAATTTTATAATTGCACTGTCTGCAACAATTTCGAAAAAATACAGTGTAGCTGTGCAAAGCGTAGGAGAGGTTCGCGACAGTTGTCTTAATTAACTCGTTACGGAAGAACAGTAACGTGATATTACCACAATTCTGTGATTCTCTTCCTCTTTGCATAATGCCAGCGCTAGTGTATGTAACGTAATATTTTAACCTTATTGTTCAACCCTTGTGGGTGAAGGCACAAAGGGATTAAACGGAGCACCATAACCTTCGCGATTGCAGCCTAGCAATTAAGCGGAGAAAAATTTGAATTCGCGAGAAGGAAATGTTTTATTTTACATCAATTTTAATAATTTTAATATAATTTTAATCAGTTTCCAAAGCGTTTCGTACGACATGTTTTTAGTGTAAATTTGTCATGCTTGTAATTTTAATTACACGCTTCGAAATATTACATTTCGGCTTCTCGATAATACGGGATAGAAACGTTAATAGTCCGAACTGAGCTCGAATTTTCCATAAACCTTTGTATCATTTCGATTTAATATAATGTAGTGGTGACTAAATGTATGATTAAATTGGAACACAGACCTTGTAGTCTGTTTTCGTTGCAAATACACTATTTCTCATATTGGTGAATATTATCGAAATAATTGGATAATTTCGATTTTCGATATATTCTCTGCCGTTCCTTCAACGTCTTTATGGATTAAAAATACATGCTGCTCTGATGTTGAGGCTAATAGCAGAGCTGTAAAGATGTAATTTAGGTTACGAGTCATAAGATTATAAATCTTGTACGTAATAAATGTATTAGGAATGGTAATTAAAACCAGAAGTTGAGAAATGGAAATGTTAATTCTCTATTTCTCTCTGTAATTTCGCCAAAATTGATGTACATCATCTTGCACAGTTCCCTTGATAGTCGTTAATCCAACTCAAATAGGTCATCTTACTAAGTAGTTTGCTATCATAAATTATAGTTAATAACTAATCGATAGAGTTAATCGTGTCAGTAATAATTAAGATGGAGGTGTAAACATCATCTTCTATATAATATTCAGTGGCCCCAGTACCTGAAATTTGCATATATTAGATATATTCTTTAATTTCAATGGAGGAACATTCAACAAACAATATTTCAAATATTGTACAACAAAAGAAACGAAATTAATTATTCTAAAAATATTCTTATTTAATTTCACATGTGTTAATTATTATTAAAAAAATTGAAAACTCATCAAAAAGTGTATAATCTCACAGAGAACGTTCCCTTTTAATCACAAAAGAAATGAAATTTTCATTTTTCCTTTCATTTTCCACTTTCGCATTTCCCTAAGCGGGCAAACACGCACACTTATCCTGGTTGAAAAATGATTTTCAATATTGGCGCAGTATACATAGGCGAAATTACAAATGAACTTGTTCATCTCTCGTGATTGAAAGAACTCTGTGTATCGATGTTCCATGTGCGTGAAAGCGTATGCATCGGCCGAAAGGAGATCTACGAAACAGGAGGTGGCCACGTTGATGAATTGAAAATATCGATTCGAAGTCTCAATGGTACGCGTATTGTGCCAGTTAGAATAGAAAACCTGTTGATTTTATGAAGAATGCTTTCGAAAGAATAGCAAATTCGATGGTGCTTCGTTTTCGTCAATTCGGATATTTTGTTATTGAGAAGAAAACATTGAATCGAAATGCTATAATAGGATTGTACGTTTTATATTTAGAATCCAGTTATTTCTGGTTAATCGATTATTCAATTATTTTAAATTCACTTATTGAAAAGTTCTTTTTTCAAACATTTTCAAGTCTAATGAATATTTACAGCTATTTAGTATGATCAAATTAATCTTCTTGTTTATTGATAACAGCCTTCGAAAATTTCACATCTGAAATAAAATAAAAAATTCATTATTTCGTATTTTGAATTTTTTAAATAAAAATAATGATAATAAGAAATTAAAAAATGATATTAACTAAGATAAATTAATTATTCTACAGACGAAAGCCTGTAAAAAACTATATCTAATTAGAAAAATAATAAATCAAATAAAATTTTCAATAAATAAATAAATTGTTCACTTTCAAACTTTTTTTTTCTCGTGACATAAAGAAAGAAAGTAAATTTATTTATTTGTTTAGAGAAAATTGAATATTAGAATCTATATCTGAATCTATTCAACAAAAAAAACAATAAACAAAAAACTATATAATATAATACATACAAATTTTAGTATTAAAGCAAATTAAAGTAGAACTTTCAATCTTAAAGATATATTTATCACAAGATCTTAAAATAATTTCTTGAACTCATTGTGAGACTGGTGAATCGATTCCACGATATCGATCTTCTCACCAAGGTCTCCTGAAGAAACAGAATCATCCCTCGTTGAAACGACAATTCTATTTATATCTCATCAGTGAGGGCGTTATAAAGGAAGATAATAACACCGCAATTTGTACAAACATATGCCCGACATAAATTACACGAATTATTCCTCTTCTTTTTTTCTTCCTTTCTCTTTTTATTTCCGGTATACTCGCGTTGCAGGTGTCATAATTAACGTGGCGTACCGCAGTCATAATAAAGTATGACAGATGTAATTAACGGCGTCCCTCGTTTCACGTCCGTTTGAAAAGAGCTGAAAGTAACTCGTTCTTATCCGCAACCACCCTATCCGCTCTCCATTCTCACCCTCGCTCTCGTTTCGTCGTGTCTACCATGATTTCTCGTTCTCCATTGGGTTCTCTTTGCGGCCATAAATAATTCAGATGCTCGAGACGTCGTAAAGACATTAACGAAGGTAAAAGCTTTTAAGGGCGGCCCTACGTTCAATCCTGAACTCGTTATGCCCTCTCGCGATAATAACTCGGAATCTCAGTTTCATTGTCCAACGATACACGGTATTTATGCACGTTTCATCCGATGAGGAGCCGTGGTCCATTTGAAATTTGATGCGGTTTGAACGAAATATTGTTTTGATACGCGCAATGTTATCTCGGTTTTGAGAGACGAGAGACTTTGTTTTTATAATAGATCAACTACGTGAAATATTCAGCATTGCGAGATAATTTGATATGTAAGGGTGAAAAGGCATAGAAGAATTTTTTTGTTTTGGAAAAAAGAAGTAATTGAAAAATTACGTCGAGTACATACAGTAGTGGATGAATGAAATTGGTTAATTTTTGAACAGATGTGGATGAACGCTCGAACAGGGTATATATATTTGAAAATAAATCAGGAAGAAATAGTAGAATTTTTTAACCTTTATTTTCATGGAAATTAAATTTGAAACTTGTTAAGTACACATGAATTTCAATCATCCTAATGTATATTACACGAGGTGGTTTTGAATATAAAAATAAATCGTAAAACAAATAAAGCAATAATATTTTTTCATTGTCGATTATTTTTTCGAGAAAATCATGTTTAAAAATTTGTCAAGTACACGAGAATTTAACAATTAAATTATTTTGTTACTAGGTACGAATGGATATTCAAAAATAAGCTAAAAATATAAAATAAAATGTTTTCATTTAAAAACTTGTTTTGAAGATTGGAAAATTCATCGAGTACACGCATACAATTCTCGATATACAATTCTCGACTAAACTTATTTTTCAAAAAAAAAAAAAAAAACGAAGATTTAAAAAAAA